GCCCACTCCATCCCCTCTCCTCACCCACTGGTTAGCTGACTTAAAGGTTTCCCTGCAAATCCATCTTGCAGGCTGCAATGTCTTGGCTCTGTTCTAGGGAACGGGAAATAGGCTTTAGGTCCACCAGGGATGCCTTGACCAACAGCAGCTGAGCTTCTTTTTGCATCGTCTAAGGGACCACACAGTCGACAGCCTTCTCACCTTTCTGACACAGCACAGCCTTGGGCTAGAAGGTCTGAGTAAGATCCAGACCGTGCTGCTATACACAGCAACTGAAGCCAGGGTCTTGGGAGTATTTGCAAAAAATAAACGCCATCAGCCAGGCCCACCCTGCAACAAATCCTAAGCAGCCTCATTAGGGCCCTTTACAGCCCCTGCCGGACATGACGTAAGCGTTGAGTGGTCCGAGCAGCCCCTCCTCTGTCCCTGCCAGCTCTGGAAACTCCTTGTACACCCAGCCAAGCACAATCCTCCCTCCCAAGGGGCTGCTGCCTGGGGGAAAAGACAGTGCAGCTTTTCAAACTCTGGCATCAATGCCTTCTGTATGTGCTTGAAAACGCCCCTGGATTATACTACACTGCTACAGCTTATTATAGGACCTACTGGCTTTGCAGGAACAAGTAGCAGATAACTAAGAAACTTGTTTTTAGGCTGCTTCTTAAAGAGCACATGGGGGGAAAAAAGTGGGAACAGATACCATTACAAACCAGCTTAGGAAAGCTAAAGAGACTAAGCACATACCTATAGGCAGAACCTTTTTTGTTGTTGCTGTTAAAATTTGACAGGGTAATTCAAAACCACATGAAAAGAATGGGATCTTTTAAAATTCAGGAGATTTGTCTAGAAATCTTTCTGGAGCAGTGATTCTTAAGGGAAGTGTGTATGACATTAGAAGGCTGTACTGTAACATATATGAGATTGCATTTCTCAACCACCTTTCAGGGATTCCTTGGAAGTTTTTCACAGAAACCCTCCCTTTCTCTCACTCCACTTCATAGTCCATAATTTAAAAACCAATATTCTAAAAATAGTTTCTCTCCTGGTTAGGTCTTTTGTTTTTCTCCCCATAGTTTCTATAGGGACTTTCTTGAAAGGTAAATTCAGCAGTGCAATTTGATACTGAAGATAATATTCTGTCATGTTATTTCAATCAGCCTTCTTAATTTACTGTATCTTACCTAAAAAGAACTCATTTGAAGAGGAGGATACAGCCTGTCACTGTGTTTAACTGTATCTTTTTAATATTTTTACCCTGAGACTACCACCATCTGGAAGTAGTTAGCATGGGAAAACAAGAAAAAGCCCATCTAAATTCACAAGACTTATTGCCTGCAGTACTTGAGTGAGAAGATCAGTATTCCCCTCCATTCATTTATTTATTCTACCCACACACAATGTTAAAGTCATTCTAAAATCCACAGTTTGGAAAGCCCCTGCTGTTAGTTATGAGCTAAAGCCCAAACTGAGGTTATCATGTTTGCCTTGCAGCAACAAATTTCAATTTGGACTCAAAGCATTGTACACAGTCTGTAGCTGTGTTTGTAGATAGATGGCTGTAGGACATCAGCTATAGCACAGTAGACAGCTGAATCTCTAGTCTTAGCAAGCAAAGAAAAAAAAATCATCTACCACTTGAAATTCAAAGACTTTTGGTTTTTTTTTCACCAAACCCAAGAGCTTACAAGGGGGTGTGTTTTTTGTCTGTTTGTTTTTGTTTGTTTTTGTTTAATTGCTACTGTGATATTCTCTAGTTGCCCCTGTGAGCATTCAGAGTGCACACAGCCCACAGCATGCACCTCAGGAGTAAAGTTTGCTCAGGTCTCAAAACCAATAAAAGAATCCTGACCTCAGAGCAGTCTCTGTGCAGACATATATTGCAGACATGAATAGCATGTTCCATTAAAATATCTTTTTTTTTTTTGTAGCAAGGTTACAGCCTCATATTTTAGCTGCTTTCATATTTCCCTTGTAATAATTCCAGCAATATCTGTGGTTCTTAACATGACCTTTTTTAGTACTTTGGTGAAGTTGCAAAAAAAGAACTTGATGTTTTCTGCATGATTCTACTTGGCTATGTTAAAGAGTACTGGGGGAGTTGTCAACTGTTTTACACAACACTAAAAGAGAAAACAAAATGCTCACACTCATCCCTCACATTCAATGTCCTTTCAGTTTGACTTGGTTTATATATATTTGAAGATGGGACATAGTGCTTGGTCTTACAAGGGGCTGAGTGCCGTGGACCCAATCTAACGTTACTTCAGCAGAGCATGTACATACCTAAGTGCTTTGAGGCCAGAGCACCAAGCACCTTCCAGGATTTATTTGTTTCTATGGCAGAAACAGAAGTATCCTGAGAATGTCTTCTTTTCTCTGGTGGATATTTTTTATATTAAAGACTACAAATTCATATCGTAATCCAGAAATGAAGATACCTTCACAAAAAAGTGGCATCTTTGCCTTCCCCTTTTACCTTGCAGGTATGCTGGAAAGAACTATAAAATTTATTTACCACAGCATGGTGTCCTTCATTACAAAAAATATGTACTTGTCTAATCACTAGGCATTTGCTCAAACAAATATTAGCTCTTCAAACAGCAGCTACATTGGAAGTAGCTGCAACTATCTCAGTTGCTTATATCAAAGTTTTTTTTTGTTTGCTTCTTTTTTAACCCTTGTTCATTGCACTTCAAGAGACAATAGATTGAATCCAAAGATTCTAGTCATGCCAAAGCAAGTCCACAAGCAGGAAAACTGATTTATTTAAGCATCTAACTCCTAGTCTATTATTTTAAGGCTTCTTGAAACCATCTTTGGTGGTTAATCCTATCTGCTCTAACACATGGTAGAAGGGCAAGTGTATCACTATAAGCCAATGATGAAGCTTTTCCTGTTCACAGGACTTCTCTCTAGGTTCAG